TTTTTTCTTTTTGACAGTATCAAGGTTTGTAGTATAAATTAGCAGTTAAATTCAAGAATATAATCTAGCTAATTATTTGGTTGTGTGTGAACTTGTGTGCGCAAGCGTGTTCATGTGTGCTAGAAGAGAGGGGCCAGAACCTTGATGGTGGGTGGATGAGGAAGGTTGATTACAAGAGTTCTTATTTGCTGACGGACACCACTGCTCTCAGTCTTAAACCGACTCAGCATGACCTACTTTCCTTGTGGACACGGTGCCTGTTTTATCTCACTCCCTCTCATCACTGCTGCGTGCATGCCTTTTACGGAGACAGTCCAGGAGAGCCCAGAGCCCCAGAGCATGTCAAGAGCTTCTTCCATCGTCAGACAACATCGGGTCAGTATGGACCTACAGAGTTCTGCCCTCGACTGCATCCGACTCTCCAGCGATGACGACGGAGAACTCCTGGTTATTTCTGCTTGGTTGGCCACTTGTAGCATTTCCTTGGCTGCTGTGCACTGGTGCTGCAGAGCGGTGAGGAAAGCATGCATACCTGGCCCAGAGGATGCTTTCTGAGAGATGAGCTGTGCTTTGTTCTCAATCTGTTTTCTATTCCCATCCGTTCTTCAGGAAGGGAGTCAGGCATCTGCATTTGCAGAGACCTCAAAGCATAAGTGACTCTGTTTTCTATTCCCATCCGTTCTTCAGGAAGGGAGTCAGGCATCTGCGTTTGCAGAGACCTCAAAGCATAAGTGGTGTGCAGACAACTTCTCTTCCAGCTCCTTCTAAAGATGCTGGCTTCTTTCTAAAGTCTCTCTGGAAAGATTATTGCATTGTTACAGTGATGGAGAAGAGACCCTCTGATACAGAAGGGAGAAGAGGGCTTCTTAAGACTTGAGAGTAAAGGCGGACTGTTCCTTCTCTCAAGCTGGACCACTTCTAGCATCCCTGAGTGGAAGGGTGCACTGCAGCCTTTATGATCAGAATGGGCACCAGGGGCTGCAGTCGCCAATTATGAGGGACCATGTTGATGGCCACTGATCTGTCCACTGGGGTCAAGACAGACTGGAGGCTACAGGGGTTTGAAAGTCTGCCAGATTCTTTTGCTGTCCTGGATTAAAAGATGTGTATCTTTCTTTTTCTTTTTCTTTTTAAATTTGGTTTTTTGAGACAGGGTTTCTCTGTAGCTTTGGAGCCTGTTCTGGAAGTATCCTCTGTAGACCAGGCTGGTCTGAAAGATGGGTATCTTTTAATGTTGAGATTTTTCCCGCCCCATAATGGAATGACAAGAATATGATTTCCCAGGAAGAAAAGAATCCTTGCTGTCCATCAGGGTGAGTGATAGCCAGATTATCTCTGGGACAACATGGCTTCTTCCCTTCCTATCTTCCTTCAAGAACTAATCTTAAATATTAGCTTGTGACAGGCCTTGGAGACTCAGGAGGAAAGATTTCAGGCCTCCCACAGGAACTTGGGGTGCACATCAGAAACAGGTAGGGTGGAACAGAGTGACGTGGGGCCAGAACACCTAAAGGGAGGAGCCCTAGGAGTATAGTTGGGAGTCTAAGCTTGGGGGGAGGGGCACAACACCAAAGGGGAGCCCTAGGAATATAGATGGGAGACTAAGCTTGAGTCTCCTGGCTCCTAGGGACATTTTATCCCAGAACAGCACCATCTGGGCATCTGAAAACTGGCAATAGAACACCCTTTCCTGCATGCTCCTGCCTGTGCATGGCCTGGCCACAAGCCTGAAGCAATGAACTCAGTGACCACAGGACTGAAGTCTGTGTGAGCCCCAATCAATTCTTTGTTATTGATTATTGATCCTCAGGTATGTGTCATAGTGACAGGAAGCTGGCTAAAACATACTAGTAGAAGATTAACGAGACATCATTGAGGAATCTTAAAAAAGTTCTTTTTTAAAAGAAATCTTAAAAATCCATTTTTGTAAAGTCAAATTTATTTGGTGCTTCAGTGCTGCCCATAATCTGTCACATTTAGGTAATTTGTTTTTCTTTCTGGCCACCTTATCTATGTGGCTCCAACTTTACACTTGCTCATTGAACAAATTTATACCCGCTAGAGCTCTGCCCCCATCTGTGCGTGTATATAGAGGAAAAGAAAGCTGTTTGATCCACCATGAAGAAGGTGGAACAGGAAGAACAATGTTTCAGATTCCTGAGAGAAGCAGAGAGATGACATGCCCACCAGCTCGTCTCCTGCAGCCAGGAGGAGGGGGACCATCAGGTTCAAAGTAACCAAAGAGTCTGATATCAGGATGCACAAATCCCATTAGATATGGAAGGGGTCTGGACATCATCTCACTTGTGAGCTCCTGGTCCAAACTGAAAAGCCCTAGTGAGCAATGCCTCACTGGTCTCCACGACAGAGACCATGAGAGGCAGGCGTTCTCATTGCACAGATTGACAACCACAAGAAAACACCACAGGACTATTCCTAACTTGTCTAGCCTCATCCTTCCCTCTCATCCCTGTAAGAGAGTGAAATAACAAGTCAGGAGTTAGGACCCAGAGATGTTTCAGCCTCATAAGACCTGACAGCTCACTGGGCATCAGTGAAGTGCACTTTAAGAAACCCACACTGAAGGGAGATGACTGTTTTCATTTCAGGCAGCTGGTCATGATCCCCTTAGGTTCCATCTAGACTTTGGACCACTTGTATTTTGTTTTCCAACCCTGCTCCTTTCCAGGGAAAATGCTGTGTGGTTGAAAGGAAGAAATCACCTCTTTTAATCAGACATCATGGCAGGTTTTTTCCTGGTCCTTTTGGTTCTCTGTCTCACTCTCTCAGGTAAGATCAGCTGAAGGTTGTTGAGAGGAGGGGAAGCAACAGTGTGGGACCTGTCATTCCTGTCGGAGCAGACACTGAGCCCTTCAGAGTAACCTTTAAAGTGTGGCTCAAATGGGTAACTCCACGAAATCTCTATGAACAGACTGCTAAAGAAGCCAGTCTGAGGACGATGTAAGACTTGCTCATTTACTGCATGCTGCTCTTTTAAATCTCCATAGACATAAAAGAGGGAAGTGCTACCGAGTGCGTCCAATGCCGTTCCCAGGATTGTTAAAAGTGTTCGGTGGAAATTTGCCAGGTGGACATTATTGTGTCATGTCTACTCACAATTGCTGAGTCTCTGTGTAGATATTTATTTTTGTATAACATAGCCCATAGACCTGTTAATAATTTAATGAAGCTTGGTAAACTAAGGGGCTAAATATATTTCAATACTCTAATAAAAATGTCTGTGAATATCTGTGCTATATGACCTAATGGAAAGAGGGATTGCTGACGAGGAAAGGGAAATAATAGGAGGTAAGAATGAAAATATAAAGGGAGGGGGGCAGGCAATGAGGAAGGCACTTCTGAACACTTAGGGGATAGTGGTCGGTTTTCTGGAACATGCAGTCATTTAACTGTTATACAACTTAGAAACAAAAAAGTTTTGTCATGAAGCTAAGAGCAAGATTTTGAGAAGCGGTCTTCCATTAATAATTTTTCTTTATTTCTCGGTATTATTTTTTGCCCTATTGGGTTATTGCAAGTGTCAGATTGAGAACTGAATATCTAGAACTAAACCCTAGACTTACAAACGTCAAAGGCTGAGAGGTCCACACGAGCACTATCACCCACCCTTTCAGAAATCGCCCTCCAGCACGCCTGCCCTCAGAAGCAAGCAGCGTAATTAATGTTTAAATGCAGAGAAACATCAAACAGACTCCAAATAGCATCAGATCTGTCCTCTTAAGTCTTAAGTATAGCCTTGCAATAATAAAAATGATAATCAACTTTTGGGTACTTAGCATACGATTAATGCTTATATATCTGACTCTTTTGGCCATAATTTATTAGGATATTCCTTTTACAATGAAAGAACTGGTTCTTACAGTGTGCTTCCCAAGGGAACCAGCTCGGCGTTAGCAAAGAGAATTAGCATAAGCTCTCTAGGTTCAGCTCTGCTTCAGCCTCTGTGTACAGTAAATATTGCTTTGGAAAATTGGAATTGGAAGAGAACCTGGTGCTTTTAACCCAGTGTGGAGGCTGCAAGAGTGTGGACATGTAGCCTGTGAGTAAACATTTCTTGTAGATAAAAACAAAAAAAAAAACAACAAACAAAAAACAAAAACAAAAGACAATCGAATGACCTGAAATTAATCTCACTCTGAAACCTCGGGAACCAGTGGGATCTACTTAGATTTTTGGGCCGACTCCCTCTTCCCCCGCTGCCTTCCTTAAGTTCTTTAATCTTACAGCTCACTGTAAAACTATTTAATTACACAAATTTATTTTTCAGACG